CTCGCCCCTGCCACCGTAATCTATGGATATATATTTCAAGGGTTGGAACTGAATTTCTTTTATTATCCACATTTTTGTTTTTGGATTCACATAAAGGTCAATAAAAATAAGGACAATGGAACGACTGACGAGTGATTATTTTCTTGACGGTTTTTAATATTTTATTTTTTATTTTACTTTACACGTACCTCGTTTTGCTTTTTTACGAGAACAACAAGAATGGTATGTCGATCGATAATTTTGTCTTGTATGAAATTTTCATTGATAAAATGTCGTTTTTATTTATAGCACTGTTTTATGTACATTGGATACTGCCAATTTGATACACTGTATAGAAAGGACTGTTTGTGCTTGTCCTTTAATACACAGTGGGATAATAATTATCGTATCAATTAATCCAGGGAAATTTATTGTGACTCACAGCATCTTCCTACCTATAGTCTGTGGACGTATTAATCGACCAGGAACTAGCAGGGATGCCCTTACGGGCGCGTACGCATTCGGCTCATCCCAGAAGCACCGCCAGCCTCCTGTCTGATCGGGTACGGCTCGTAACCACTTACGGGATCTGTACGCTAACGCTCATCTCGGGCATGCATACGCGCGCAAACGTACCGGGTGTCCTGGATTATTCGATTAGTCGTGAAATATGAATTTTTAATATCAGTTATCAAATTTGAAATCACTTCATTCGCCCTGTATTTCTACATTACTAGACGTCATTTAACATAACCCTTATAATGCCTTGGACGTTTAGTTGCATAATGGCAAGGGGCATTGTTCATATTTCAATATAGAATATACGATCCGCCATATCGTTTCTCACTTACCTGTATATACTCCTTTATACACTGTATTGTATATAAGGCTGCTGTATACCAAGGACTAGGCTGTAAAACTCGAAGACGTAAAGTTGAGACGCCATTATTCAAAATGGCTTATATATATACAGCTTTACTTGTCCTGCTGCGCGTTATACCGTTCAGCTGAGAATGGCTGCTCAGTTACGGTCACTTACTACTTCGCTTGTTACTTGTACTCCAGTTGAATCTCTTAGCGGCTTTATTTTTTACTTGCAATTCACTCCGCGTCTTTACTAAAGACTTTTCGAGAACTCTGAAGGGTCCTGAATGGTCGTCTCCTTGATGCGTTATATATATAATATATACAGCGTATATACGTATATCGCATGGTCCAGTTCTCTCGGCAATTGGAAACTTCCGCTGTTCCCTTTAATAAAAGCTTTTACCTGTACTCACGACTGATTCTTCGTGTAGCTTAATCAAAGTGCTTTCAAAAGATCGTTTACGTTGGTGCGTCTTCCCGCGTTATACGTCAGCTCCTAGAGAAGCCCGAAAGTCACGCGAAGATTCGGAGCATTCGAATTCGTTCTTCCAATGAACGTGAGACACGTTGGGAGGATTTTCTTTTTGTTATTTACTTTTTTTTTTCAAAAATGCCTTTTCATGGTCCTCGAGCATTTACAACAGGAAGTAGAGGCCTATTGCGCGGGTCGGAAATGAGATGACGTAAATTTTGAGATGGATTTTATATTTAAGGAAATATAAAAAAAAGTCGTTACAATTTTTTTTTTATTAATTTTTGTCCCAAAATTCATTACCGTTACGTTGGTATATTATATATAATACGTGTCTATTGGTATATCTAGGGGGGTATGCCTGTTCTTTTTGTGTACAGAAATATATGGTTCCGTGTCAATACCCAATAAAAGACGTATCCTCTGATAAGGGTTGTATTCCACTAGTCCACTTAGGGGACGAACGCGTTTATGGCTGTTGGTTAATGGCATCGCTGCACACTGTAACCATTACTGATCTCGTCTACCGGGTGTTACTGTTTTATAAATCACCCTTTAACGTCCCGAGCTGTCTCCCTTAACGGGAGGTCGTCGTCATCCCTTATATAGTTATGCGGAGTGCTGCGCTACCCCTGCGCTCGCTTCGTATGTAAATTGCGCAAGTAAAACACTTTAAATGCATTTCTACAATTGGCACAGTGTCCAATAGTTCACTTGCTGCATATACTAGGAGGGGTCGCGAAGACGAGGTCGAGTTACGTAGGGGTGGTTACGGGCGGTTATGGTGGTTATTGTGAATTTTCAATTTCATTCCTTACGATTTTAGGAAAAATTTTTTTTTTGCGGACACATTTTTTTTTAGAAAATATTTTTCGGATTTTATCATTTTTCTTTTTGCCCACTTTTTTTAGGCTCACAGCCCTAGGAGGAGGACGCACGCGCACAACGATCAGACAGCACCTTACGGGAGACACAGCGATCATTATGATTCTAGCATAGGTGAGTATTGTTTGGGGTCTTTTTTTTTTGAGATGCAGTGATTTTTTTTGCTTTGTCCTTTTTTTTCTGTGCTTGGCAATTCTTGATTTGTGAATTTTTTTTTTTGGGAAATTTTGCCGGTACGAAGGATTTCGCGAGAGGCTGAGGATGTGTAATTATGGTTTTAATGTAATATTACTTTTTGTAAGTAATTAATTCCCTAGACAATGAGGAGATACCCTCTTGATTGACGTTTTTCTCTTGGTGGGTAATTATTTGGGGAAATGCTGGATTCGCAGTTTAAGGAGCTTAGGAATAATTAACATTTTTTTTTTAATTCTCTGCAATCTGACCCGCATTTTTGATAGATTGAATTTTTCGGTAAAAATTCAAGATTTAATATAGTTACTTTCTTTCTTCTCTCAGACCTGAGCAATCCACCCTGCGAGGCTATCAGCCTTCCTGCTTTGAGTCGTGTTGCCATCGACGAGGATGACAACCGATCGATTCGATTGTGAGTAATAATACATTTTTTTTGTATTTCTTTTTTTTTCATAATTTTTACTAAGTAATATCTAATATCGTCCTTTGATTTTGAATAATTACAAAAAATCGACGCAACTCATTCCTAGTTAAAATAAATGATTTTTCGAAATTTCATTTTTGATCTCTTTTCCAATTTTATTTTTCTTTACCAATTTTATCATCGATTGTTACCATTATTCATTTTCAAATTCGAGTTTACTACAAATGTCCGATATCGTACGCGAAATTTCAATTATATATATTGAAAACTTTGCCAGTCCTCAGTCACATAATCGTCCGGACAATTCACGCTTTATCTTCATGGCCAGTAGATAAGCATCGCGCTGCATGTTTCAGGACGAGCTCGTCTTTTATCTTGTCTGTTATCGATCAGTGAACATACCGGGTGATCTAATAATTTCTCATCGCAATGTTTCCGGAAAAATCTTAATTCCTCAATCGATCATCGATTCGTTATTGTTATTGTTAACAACCATAAGGTTTTCAACGATGACAAATTTTTTATCAGTCTCAGCCTTGAAATTTGTACTTCTTTCGAGTACAAGACAGTCCGATAAGACTAGTATAATCTTATCAAAATTTATTACCCACAGTGTATTTTTGATTGTTATGAAAATTCGGAAATTTAAAAAAAATTTTTGTCTCTTCCAATAAACTAGCATATCGTTCGCGTAAATTTAGGTCTTTTTATCCGCAAAAAATTTGTAAATTTTCAGCGTGTTCTTAAGATCTATAAATAATTTTTACAGTTTTATATGCAATAGTTTTTACGCTTTTCTTTCACTTCTTTTCTATCGCGTCGAACCGGCCTGCGTAATCACGTCCCGTGCACAATTAATCGTGACAATATTGCTTTTTCATTACGTGTCGCTGACCGGGCAAATTATACGTTATCCCAATATTTCATCCAAATGACCATCGGGATGATAGGTGAAATTTTGTTTAAATCGATCGACCTCATTAAGCTCTACGTAAAATAACCGAACGCTAATGAACTCGCGGTGTCCGTCAGCGAAAAGTCAATTGTCTCAGGTTGAAAAAAGGATTTAACTTTGAAATTTCATGAAAAATTCGTAAAACTGATTTCTCGTGCTTATCAGCGCGCAGCCGAGTAATCCTTCATTTACCTCAAAGACATAAAATCGATCGAACCGTATAATCATACATACAGAGTTCTTTTCATTTTAAACGTACGACTGACACGTGACAGCCTTCCACGTCCCAAAAGGCAGTAAGTAATTGAAAAATGTATTGATAAATATTGAGTAAAAATTTTTTTTTAAATTTTCACACATTTCATCCCAATTAATAATTACCGATGTCATTCAAATGGTCCATTCGGAATGGTCCATATACGCAGTATATCAGGTGGGATTATAACTTTTACATCAAACTGACAAAATTATGTCAGTACAGTGACGTCAGTAAAACCTTATTAAAAAATTCAGCCTCAAATCGCTATTGGCTCTGGTTATTAGTACCTGCGGTTCCTCTCGGGCGAGTAGTAATAAATTAGTCCGCTGCGTGGCGCCACCGTCGAGTGGAACTAACTAACGAAACACTGCCGGACAGGGAGTCACGCCATAGTCCCACACGTTCATTACTCACATGTGGTCGGAGTGCGGTGGATGTAGGAGGTCGGTCTCGATGCTGCCCAAAAAATCGCTCTAGCGATCGTGTAGCTCTGTGGAGAGGAAATAGTCGAGGGCGGGTTCAAATTTGATAAAGAATCGAATATTATATTTATCGAAAATTAATTTGGGAATTTTTTTTCCCATTTACCCTCGATCGAATACAATGCCACTGAAACCAGGCGATCGTCGACAGGATATGGGATACTGATTGTTCGTTTTGAGAATTGAGGGTTGATCGTTGATAAATTTTAGAAATTCAACCGTACGTTCTTCAGCCTATTTTATGTGCTGGAGGATCGGTTCAATTTCCTTAGCGACGCCCGGCGTCGCCCGCGGCGTCGAGTGAACCCAAATTGCATATATCGATTGGGAAATGAATTTACTAATTTCCGGCTGAATTTTCGTACGGCTACTGGATACTGACGTGCACCCTGGTGCCTCCCGGGTTGGCGAGCTTTACGGTTTAGCAATATCGGTGGTATCGCTCGGAAATGTCAAGGGGGGTTGAAACTTGGAAACAAGGGTGGCTTTTGCTGTTGATATACAACCCTCTGTGTCAGGTCGATGCACTTTTAAATTGATGGCTTCGTTAGAGCTACACCTATATACGTACGCCTTCGCTGTGACCGCAAATGCATTCTGTACGTATGGGTTAGGTACGTATAGGGGTTGTTTGTGGGGAGGGGGGGTGGCTGTACCTACCCTCTGCTATCTGTAGGGGTGTAAATTTATACCCTCAGTGGATGGGCTTGAAATCTGATCGGTGGCTCTACAAATGAAAATGAGGATCGGAAGCGAGTTGATTAGTGACAGTGTAAAATAGGGGTTGCCAATATGGGATGATATATTAATTTCTCGAAACTCATATATTTCGTAATTAGTTTATCTTTCTGCGAATATTAATTTCTTGATATCAATGCTCGACGTACGTGCGCTATAAATTTTCATTAAAAAAAATGCCCGACGGTGGTTTTCGAGGACTTTTGAATTTTTCCAGAAAAAAAATATTTTGTTATTCCTACCCAGTTGTTCTCTACTTTTTAGTCTCCCTTTTTCCTTTCCTCTCTGACATCAGGAAAAAAAATTAACCTTCGCCGAGAATTAATCGTTCCTTTTCATACGTAAGCAGAAGGGTTCACATATGTTGTACATATGTATGCATATATGGGCACGTGTCTTCCTTGGGATCGTCTAAATTTTTTTTTACATTTCTTTTTTCCCTCGTCATTTGAAATCTACCAATCGTGCCTCGTCGCGATTATTTTTTATTTTTCAATACCATGCGCCATGGAGACTCGTAGGAGAGCACGTATCCAGTGAAACGTGTAAAAAAATTCGCAACGATCCAAACTTCAGAATCACGTGATGATCTTTAATATCCGGAGGATTCCGAGAAAGCGGGAAGGATCGAAAATAATAATAAAAAGAAAAAAAAAAAGAAAGAGAAATTTGTAAATGAAAAGCAGCAACAGTCGGGCATTTGAATGGTCGACCTAACCTTTCAGGAGATGGCGATCAAATTCAAAGGGACGAAACGTCCCCTCCCTCCGCCACCTTCCCCTTTCTTCCACCCCTTTTTCACCTTCCCATTAGTCCAAATTATTATTTACATTCACTCCTGATACTCCTGGTCCCCTTTCGACCTGAAAGTTGTATCCACTTTGAAAAATTAAAAAAAAAGAGAGAAAGGATTAGAAAAAAAGAAAGAAAAAATTATTTATTGTATAAAATCTCACCGTGTACACTGAATAATTTTTTCATTACGACGATCATCTTCAGGGGCTGTTTTCATTAAAGCAATTTTTTTTTAACGAAACCTCGCCTCAATGCTCGTGAATATACACGTGTATTATTTAAAAGAGGAAAAAGAAAATTCCAAATTTTTTTAACGCCACCTCAACTTTTTTGCAAATTTCTTACCAACCGCCTACGGGCCTTTTCAATTAATTTTATGCAATTTTTCATAATTGGAAAACTTGGACCGATACGTCTGACAAAGGAAGCTCGAACTCGGGACCCGCTATGAGTCGCCGGGCGTCGCGACGGATATTACAGCGACATTAGTACGAGGTCACATAAGGGTTGATTTAACGCGGACTGGTGATACGGCTGGTAAAAATAGGAGGGTTGCTTTTCATCTTATTGAAACTTTTTAACGGGGTGGTACATTTCCCCCCGCCCCCCTTCCTTTCACCCTTGCATCCAGCCACCCAGCGAATTTCGCATTCAATATTTCTTCCTTTCGTCAGCATCTTCGAACCGTGCGTTTATTTTTTACTTTCCTTTTTCTTTCCCTTCCCTTTCTTTACTACTTATGTATCGGCAGCTCTGCCGCATATGTAATATTGCTTACACACATTACCTACACGGTAAAGAACATGCATGCGCCTGCCCTTATACCCATATTTTATATTTTCTCTCACTTACCCCCTTTTTCTCTAACGACAGAAACGTGACGTCATTTATAAGCATCCCCGTGCGTACTTCTCCCAAGCTAATACATTTCCACCCCTTTCATTTTTTTCTTATTTTTTTTTCCAACTTCCTTACCCCAAGTTCTATACGCGCAGCTGACACGCAGCCACGTGCACTGATAACGTCCGAACTTTGTTGCAGTCATGACGAGGAACAAAAAGTCAGGAACGGATGGGGGCACCTGAGGGGTAGTGCCCGGAACCTCTCGTTTCTTCATTTGGGCACTTACGGTTCCAGGCAGCACAACAATTACTCGGTAAGTCACTTTGACCAATTTTTTTTTCAAATTTTATTGAAATTTAACAAAATAAAAGATCGCCTTACAATTCGCTATGACAGTCATAAGGGTAGGCTCAGAAATTCATTTTCAGTACTACGAGTATAGTCGTGTCTCTGTTTACCTACATGCAACAGAGTGAGAGACAACCGTGCTCTAGATGCTGACAGTGAATTTTGGAAACCACCTCCTGTACTGTATACATCTTAGATTCTATTTACATGTGCAGGCTGTCCCTAAATTATATATATATATAGGTCATTGGTATAACTGTCAGATACAATATGGCCTACTGGCCCAAGATCGTCCACACAACTGAGGAATCTCAAAGGAATGGGATTTGAAATATTATAAAATGACGTCTCTACCTAGTCTTACCTGAGCTTGTTCAAGCCCAAGTAGTCTGCTACCCTTTTAGCATACACTTGGGACCGAATGCAGTAGACAACAGCGAAAGCACATGGAGTCATCCATCTTACTTTTGTGTGACCTGTCCGATAGCCTTCCTCGTGGACCCCTCTCGTTCTTGAGTCTGCATTAAAGATTTTTCTCTCTCGTTTCTGCGGGAGCGAGTATCTGCGCCTCTTTTTTTTTTTCGTCCCCCCTCGATAAGACGCACTCGATCGTTTCACACGAAATTCAAACTCCGAGGGGTTGTTGCCTTGGTGGATTAATGGTTCTTTTTCCTTGTATTTTTTTTTTAGTAGCGAAAGGGGTTGCTAGCTTATTTTTATTCTTATTCCTCAGCCACGCTAAAGAAAACGTTTTACAGAAGCGCGAGGGTTTGCGCTGTTGGAATGATAAAGAAATTCGAAAGGGACGATCTTGAGCCTTTAGCCAAAACGGGCAGCGGCGTCTCGGATAGGCTTGCTTTATAGAAAAGAAAATGTGGCGGTCAGTATGACAGGGACACGATTTTATTAGATATTTTATTTACCTGTCGCTTCGATGCGTGTTAGTTCAAAGTTGTTGTTGACATTTTCTTCGCAGATTGTAGAAGTCCGTGAGGTTAGCTTACATTACGTCTTTCCTTTTTTTTCTTCATAGAGAATTTGCTTTTTTTAACTCTACCTCTTTGTCTGCTTTTTTTCATTCTCGGTTCTATACAATTTCGTATCTTTCTCGTGCGATCGGATCAGTTACTCTGGTACAGCCTACTTTTTAAACGATCGATAGGTATCTCCTTGTTTCATGCTTTCAGGCGACCTCGTGTTTCATTTTGTTTTTTTGCTGACTGTTATTTATTTTCACACCGTGTATCCATCGTCTCAATCCCACTCACTCTTTCGTTTTATCACTGTGTCACTCTCTCCAGTTATTACTCGTCGTATAATTTATACGTGCATCGCGACGTCCCGACGTTATAAAGCGGAATGTTAACCTTGCATGGGGATTGCAGTACTTATTTTTCCACGATTGTAAAGCCATATTAGCAGAGTCGTTTGTGACACTTTTTAAAAGAACGGTCTATCGTCACCGAGTTTAACCTGTACATACAATAGAATTGGTTAAACGTGCCGTATACGCGGACCAAACTGTCAGGCAATAGAAACCGTAGCGCGTCGCGATCGACCGTTGTAAACATCATGGCTGAAACTAGCGTCGCCCAGCGCCAAGGCGGCGATTGTGCGAACTACGCGGCGAATTTGAATGGGCTTTATCGTTCGGAGGATAACTAATCAAATTAATAAGCATACTTCGCACGGAAGTACCTCCGGGTTTTGGTTTTGGGGTAAAGTGGTGAGAATTCACAATCCATTCAAGGGTTGAAGTGCAAGAATGGTAGAAGGCTGATATTGGTAGCTAATCTCTCAAAACGATTCCCCACTCTGCTGATGATGAAATTCAAGGACTTCACGAAATTCCTTCGCCCTCCCGTCCCTCGAGGGGAGAGACTCTCTTCGATAAATCAAATTAAGTCGTGCTTTCTCTCCTTGGCGGTGCCGGCTAATTTGAATCGAGCTTCGCGACGCGTAGACACTTGGAATATTTCGTGGACCCTCCAAGAGGGAATTTCACCGTCTCTTATCCCCCCATCTCGCCCTGTTTCCGTGGTTACGGAGAAATAATGCGCATCTTCTTTCTTTTCAATAAAAATGACCTTCGATCCCTCTTACGATCCTGACGAGACAAGACGTCATTTTTAAAATGGCCGATCGATGCCATCTTTGATTTTTTAAACATAATTTTCTGTCGACTATATACGTACAGGTATCCGTCGCTCCTTGCGATATTTTCATAAGGGACGAACGTTTCTGTCATTATGCGCTGGAGAGAGGGTTCTTTTTTTTTCTTCTATACTCAGAGTAAGATTGTTAAATGGCGGCGTTGGTTTTTTTATATCAAAGAAAACAAAAAATGGCGACCGCTTTATCTTTAATGAAAGGGAACGCCGGCCGTATTTCTCCTCTGACCGAAACGCCTTTTAGGTCGTGTCGAAATTTTCTTCGCGACGAAATTAATGAACGCCGAGTTACCGCGAGCGAATACTACACGTGTACGAGAGGGAAGAGTGGAGAGAGAGGGAGAAGGAAAGATTTTCAAATGAAGAAAAAGCCCTTCGTATCGTCACTTGAAAAAGCGCCTCGAGCCTTTGCTATTTTAATACGAACACAGGCGACAATAACTTCGACGAGTTTCTAGGAGACTTACGATGCGTTTATACGACGTTTAAAGAAAACATGGAAAAATGAAATTTAAAAAAATGGACTACTTTTTTTTTATCTCATTATTTGGACGTCGCTCCTTTTCATTTCTCATTTTCGGCCGTCCCGACGCCTTATCCCGTTTAAGATCCCAGAGCCTCCGTCGTGTCTGCACGTCTCGTCTATAATCCAAGGATATAATGAGAGACCTGGTAATCGAAGAATTGGTTTTTTCATACATATATATATATATTCATCGATATATATATATACCGGGTGTTTTATTATTGGATACTACTCGACGGCTGATAATATATCCTACGAATGGCTCTATACTGAAATTTTATTTTCTTATCACAAAAAGCCTACAGTCGATCGAGAATCTTTTTTTGTATTACTTATTGATAATACTTCTATGCCTTATCTTCACGTACCGTCTGACCGGTACTTGACTTTTTCCCCTGGCGCAGGTGTAACCCTTACAAAGACTTCTATCGGTCTGATAACAGATATTACGTCTCGGCGGTTTCCCATCTATTCTATTTTCCGTCGCTGGCAAAAGTTTCGTGAAAATTGACGTGGACGTCGGGACAATAATAAATTGTAATATTCATATCGGTGAAGAATTAATTTTTTTTTTTCATTCTCTTGAAACATTTATGAAATTTTTAATTATTAAAAAAAAATTTTTTTTACAAGCGACGCTTCTATGAAAACCCGTCGACTTTATGTGCCAGCAGCGAAGTCGCTGCAGATATTTGTAATGCGGTACTTATGGCAGATCAATATTGGGCATAATGACGTATGACGAATGATTTTTTTCTATAGATCCGTGATTGTTACGTGAGATCAAGAGGCGGATAGATAATGACAAAAAAAATTTATTCGATTTCGATGACAGGTAGTTTTACGTATAATATAATTCGTTTGCCATTTTTTTCCTTTTATTTCACTTCCAGTCATTGTTTTATTTTTATGAAATTATTTATTAGGGATTCAATCGAAAATTTTTCAATCGCTGTATTTACTTTACTTTGTTTTCGTTCGATTGAATAGAGTAAACTGCCGATAGACTTTGATTTCCGAATTCACTTATCCCAGTACGCAAGTACAGCGAGGGACTTGAAAAATTCACTGGTGTAGTGGGGAAGGATAAAGAAAAAAGAAAAAAAAAGCGATATTGTCGAAGCGACGGAAAAAAGATTATTCTTTTTCGCTGTTTGCGAAGTTCCTATATTTGGGAGTAGCATGAGAGATGAGTTATAAGGGTAAAAGAGGGAGCGAATAGAAAAAATAAAATATCCCACAAAATCATAGTTTCCTCGAAAAAATTTTTCTTACGAACGATGGGGCATGGGAGATAACTGGACAAATATTAGTAAAAGATCGATCGCCGTCGGTACGCGAGTTATTTTTCAAGCAAACTCTATATAATTTTACTATACATATATACAATTCACATATACGTTTACTCACGGCTAAGGAACTACCTGAAGTTGGTTCTAACGTAGAAATTAAATGGCTAAGGTCAGTGTAGTGTATTTCCGATGAGCCTGTATACATATATAGTATATATATATATATATATATATATTGTTTCGTTTATAATTAAATATAGAAAACATAAGAAACCGATCCGTAACAATTAATAGTTTATATATCAAAACCGTGAGTCAGACCGTCTAACCGGAAATGAATAAGAACCCCAGTTTCAAAACAGGCCACCCACCTTCTCGTTCAAACTTCCCGCCAATCTGTCATTGTTGTGTGTAAAAAAAAATCAATCTCGCTCTTTCATTCAACACAGGATTTATGCTTCACAGGGTTATTTATCGTCAACCCCCTATTGTCTTCTTCACCCTTACACGATTGGGATTTCTCTCGGGGATGATCGAAGTCCTATATAATTTCTCACGGGGTTTCTATACCAGGTTAATGTCTCCTATTTTCTTTTTCTTTCTTTCCTTCTTTTCCTATGTCAATGGGTTCCCATGAAATCGTATAGAGGTTTATATGGGGTGGGATCCTCCTGCAGGGACAACCGAGGGTGGCTCGTATCGCACTGGACGTCGAGTCGACTTATATCGAGGTGGATTGGTAAACCGTCTATTGACTATTGGCTCGAGTGACGTCGCGACGCCAGGTCGAGACGCGTCACGCCGTCGACAGTCTGACGTTTTCATTGGGATATCATTGGCTCGTGCGTTACAGTCTTTCTCTGAATCTACTATGGACTCCGTGCATTAAAGCCCGATACACACGATATAGACTTACGTACACGTGTGTATCAGGCTTTACCTTACGACACTTTCTTAGGTAATTACGTTCGTTATC